ATTCTGTTAGTGCTGGGTGAATTAAAGAAAAGTGTGCACTTTGCTCACTCGATCAGGATGGTCATCTGGTGTTTTCTCCTAAATACAAGCTCAAGGGTTTATTTCTTGCAAGTGAAGAAATAAGGACAAAAGTATTTTAATGTTCCTATATTTTAGTGTAATGTAGACTAAAATATACTTTTGAAATATTCATTTTCATTTACATAGTACATTTAATAGGCTATAGGCTATGGATTTTACGTCATAGGAATAATTATATAAATCATTATTGCATTATTATAATAATTGTTTGGCATCAACTCCATTGATAATGTAATGTAGACTGAGACTCTCATAACTAAAAAGCTGTTTGAGCCCTGTTTATTGTCCTGCTACAAATCAATGCGTTTTCTTTGTTCAATGAGCAGTTCATGGGTTGAAGCTCTTAATTTTGATCTCTCAGAGAGCACGAGATTGATGCATTTAACCTTAAAATGTACAAAATGTTCTTGCGGGGGAGCATGCCCCTGAACCCCCCTAGAGGAACAGTAAATCAGTAACACTGTAAATGCTATTAAGGGTCCACCCAACATACTTTTACAAATTCATATGGGATAGAACAACCATTTATGAACATTCAGCCTAGTACAACAAAGTTCATTTTAAGTCAGTAAAACTGTAAATGTCGTATTAAAATGTCCTTAGACAAAATATACATTTGGCCTGCTTAAAAGGGGGCCTACAAGACATTAGCCGCGTTTCCACTGCCGGGCTAGGGCTGGGCCAGAGCTAACAGCGAGCCGGGCCGAGCTAGTGGCCTCGGGCCTCAAGCACCAGGCTTGCGTTTCCACTGCCGGGCCAGTAGCCCCACAGCGCTGCCCCAGACCCCACCCCTAACACGCCTTTCTGGATCAAACGTCATAAAACCCAACCCATTTCAGCGGGTATTATGAATTAATTTATTTTTTAAATTAGGAAGATAGCATGTATATTAACTCACCTGCCGCAGTGGCTGCAATAGTGTCCCGAGACCAGTACAGGCGATTCTCCATTTCAAGCAGCGATTTTTTGCGCGATATAACAAGTAGGGCTGCGGGCACGTTTTCAAGTTATTCATTAACCGTAACCGAGGCCCATCGGTTAATACTCGGTGCATAGTGTGCGCGCCGCAACCTCGAGATACAGAGTTAATTTTTTAACACCTTTAATAACTGATTGGACCCCATTTGAAACGAAATTAATTTATAGAAATAAAACGCAGCAAGTACGGAGCAGTTAAAGCCGCATTTCCATCACCCTTCAAACTGAAATTGCCAATTGAAAATAAGCAAAACGTCCATTTCACAAAAACTCCGTGTCTGCAAATAATAATAATAATAATAACCATCATCATCATTATTATAACATTTTATTAGGCTGCATATGTAGAAGACGCCTTTATCCAAAAAAGGAACAGAGCACAAATAAACACAATATTTTTGACGCATATCAGCGCATATCCAGTGTGTGTGGAGCACGCACTGATGGCTGCGAGACGCCCATGTGAACACTTGCAGTTTCATTGCAGTTCTTTCAGTGGAAACAACTTAAAATACTCTTTCATTTCTGGTCATACAGAAAATAATAATACATTATTCGCAAATACATTTATTTGCGTAAACTCACAATAACAAGAAAACGTTGTGCTTTAACAATTAATCAACGCGCGCTTCATGATCTCCGTGAACTGAAGCGCGAGACCTGAAAAACAGCCACCGCATTCGAATTTGTTCGTTTTAAATTGGACATTTAAAGCTTTAGTCTATTAAAGCTTTAAATGTCCAATTTAAAACGAACAAATTCGAATCGAAAGCCAATATCTTCTGACTATGTAATTATGTAGCTAATTAATTTCTCTCCAAATGTGCATCCGGAGATAGAGATATGTTTTAAGCCGAAAATCATTTAGAAAACAATAGTTTATTAATAAACAATTAATGCCTCGTTATTTTATATTATTTTATTATCAGACACATTTATTTTAGCCTATAAATCACCTATAATCCCCTTTCTGTAGGCTGTGGTTACGGCTCTTCTCATTCAGCACTGAGGGGAAAATATCATTTCCAGGTTCTAATTTGGCCTCAGAAAACCAGTAAAATATATATTTTTTTCATATTAATTTGTCAAATATTTTAAATGTTTAAGGGGCAAAAAAATCAAACAAATATCTGAAAGTTCGTCGATATGTATAGCCTATATATTTTTGCGCAGCATTTGGCATATTCAGTTCAAATTAAACTGTTATGCAATTTTAAACGGTTAATCGGTTAAACATGGACACCCCTATGTGCATCTTGCTTCAGATCATAACATTCCATAACACCGATAAACTCCGCCTTTTACCTTGAGCACGCCTCTAGCCCGAGCTGGCCCCCTCTGGCCCAAGGTATTCGACGGGCCAGAAATCCTGGCCGTTGGCCCTGAGGAAGCCCCGATCAAGCCCCGGAAGTGACAGTGGAAACGCGACTGGCCCAGGCACGCACTAGCACGGCCCGGCCCTGGCCCGGCAGTGGAAACGCGGCTAGTGTGCCCAGGGGCCCCTGAACTCTTAATCCGGCCCTGGGAGTCGTGTGTGTGTGTCCGTCAACTATCCATAAGTGGAAGTGAATCTTGTGTGTCCTGTCCGCAACACACTCACACACCGTGTCACGGACAGCAGATACACACTCACGTGAAGGACAGCAGTCACACACACATGACCCCTGTGTGGTTGTGCTGCTTTAAGAGTTTAGATCTGTGAGTGTGATCTCTGTGTGTCGCTGTTCTCTCTCCAGACGGGTTTAAGGAGGTCCGTCTGTCGGTTCAGTGTGAGGACGTGTTGGTGCGAACGGGTCTGAAGGACCGAAGCTCTGTGTTTGTGGGACCGTTTTCCTGCAGTGGGGATCTGGAGGCTCATTGGTGCAGACACAGCGGAAGCTCCGCCCCTGACTCACCTGGACCCCCGAGAGTGCTGATTGACATGAAGGGAGGACTTCTGCAGGTAACAGGACATGCTTCTGTTTGCATGTCCTCTCTCTCTCCACACGTGTGTGTCCTGCATGCCGTTCTGTTGAACACAACATGTGCTCGTCTCCGTAAACTCAGAGTGTGGCCGCTGAACACGCAGAAATCCCCTAATGTTCCTGTTCACTGTTAGTCAGAGACCATTAGTCAGAATCATTCTGAGTCAGAGATTCCAGCGGATTCAGGCCAAGCACTCACACACACACACACACACTCACACACACACACTTATGTAGCTATCTAACTGGAGAAATTGCATAAATTGTGTTACATAAACCTAACCCACACACTAACCCTCACAGGTAACTTTCTGTACATCTGTCCGTCTGTCTGTCTGTCGTCTGTCCGTCTGTCTGTCGTCTGTCTGTCTGTCGTCTGTCTGTCACAGGTATTTTGGGGGCAGCAGCAGTTTAACTGTTTGTCTGAGATTCAAGAGGAGCTGCAGAATTACTGGAAGCAGATTAGCAGAACAGAGGCGGAGTCAAGCGATAAGCCCCTCCTCTCTACTCCCCCTCCCACCCCTCCCCCTGCCCAATCAGAACACTCATCTGATGACCTGCGCACAGGCCTCTTCCAGTACATCCAGGACTCAGGTATCACGCGCACACATGTGTTACAGCTTCATAAACTTTCCTAAGTGTGTGTTTGATGACATCTGTCTGCCCGTCTCTCAGCGTGCCAGAAGCTGCCGTCGCCTCATGAGGTGGTGTTCTGGAGGGAGACGGAGGAGTCTTCGGGCGTGATGCTGTGGCGATATCCTGAACCACGTGTGATCACATTTCTCAGAATCACACCTGTTCCCTTCAACACCACCGACGACCCGGACATCAGCACGGCCGATCTCGGAGACGTACTGCAGGTGAACACTGCATTAGTGCTGCGGGTGAACACTGCATTAGTGCTGCGGGCGAACACTGCATTAGTGCTGCAGGTGAACACTGCATTAGTGCTGCGGGTGAACACTGCATTAGTGCTGCGGGTGAACACTGCATTAGTGCTGCGGGTGAACACTGCATTAGTGCTGCGGGTGAACACTGCAATAGTGCTGCGGGTGAACACTGCATTAGTGCTGCGGGTGAACACTGCATTAGTGCTGCAGGTGAACACTGCATTAGTGCTGCGGGTGAACACTGCATTAGTGCTGCGGGCGAACACTGCATTAGTGCTGCAGGTGAACACTGCATTAGTGCTGCAGGTGAACACTGCATTAGTGCTGCGGGTGAACACTGCATTAGTGCTGCAGGTGAACACTGCATTAGTGCTGCGGGTGAACACTGCATTAGTGCTGCAGGTGAACACTGCATTAGTGCTGCGGGTGAACACTGCATTAGTGCTGCGGGTGAAACACTGCATTAGTGCTGCGGGTGAACAGTGCATTAGTGCTGCGGGTGAACACTGCATTAGTGCTGCAGGTGAACACTGCATTAGTGCTGCGGGTGAACAGTGCATTAGTGCTGCGGGTGAACACTGCATTAGTGCTGCGGGTGAACACTGCATTAGTGCTGCAGGTGAACACTGCATTAGTGCTGCAGGTGAACACTGCATTAGTGCTGCAGGTGAACACTGCATTAGTGCTGCGGGTGAACACTGCATTAGTGCTGCGGGTGAACACTGCATTAGTGCTGCGGGTGAACACTGCATTAGTGCTGCGGGTGAACACTGCATTAGTGCTGCGGGTGAACACTGCATTAGTGCTGCGGGTGAACACTGCATTAGTGCTGCGGGTGAACACTGCATTAGTGCTGCGGGTGAACACTGCAATAGTGCTGCGGGTGAACACTGCATTAGTGCTGCGGGTGAACACTGCATTAGTGCTGCGGGTGAACACTGCATTAGTGCTGCGGGTGAACACTGCATTAGTGCTGCTGGTGAACAGTGCATTAGTGCTGCGGGTGAACACTGCATTAGTGCTGCAGGTGAACACTGCATTAGTGCTGCGGGTGAACACTGCATTAGTGCTGCGGGTGAACACTGCATTAGTGCTGCGGGTGAACACTGCATTAGTGCTGCGGGTGAACAGTGCATTAGTGCTGCAGGTGAACACTGCATTAGTGCTGCGGGTGAACACTGCATTAGTGCTGCGGGTGAACACTGCATTAGTGCTGCAGGTGAACAGTGCATTAGTGCTGCAGGTGAACACTGCATTAGTGCTGCGGGTGAACACTGCATTAGTGCTGCGGGTGAACACTGCATTAGTGCTGCAGGTGAACAGTGCATTAGTGCTGCGGGTGAACACTGCATTAGTGCTGCGGGTGAACACTGCATTAGTGCTGCAGGTGAACACTGCATTAGTGCTGCAGGTGAACACTGCATTAGTGCTGCGGGTGAACACTGCATTAGTGCTGCAGGTGAACACTGCATTAGTGCTGCGGGTGAACACTGCATTAGTGCTGCGGGTGAACACTGCATTAGTGCTGCGGGTGAACAGTGCATTAGTGCTGCGGGTGAACACTGCATTAGTGCTGCAGGTGAACAGTGCATTAGTGCTGCGGGTGAACACTGCATTAGTGCTGCGGGTGAACACTGCATTAGTGCTGCGGGTGAACACTGCATTAGTGCTGCGGGTGAACAGTGCATTAGTGCTGCAGGTGAACACTGCATTAGTGCTGCGGGTGAACACTGCATTAGTGCTGCGGGTGAACACTGCATTTGTGCTGCGGGTGAACACTGCATTTGTGCTGCGGGTGAACACTGCATTTGTTGCTCTAACTGCATTAGTTGCTCTAGTTGTCTAGTTGTGCTGTGCATGTCATTTTAGTGTGTTAGCAATTGTAAAAAACTGTAAGAGGAACAGATTTCTTTTGTCCAGTGTCATACATTCATGACACTTATGAAAGTCTCTCAGTTTGTGTTTTTTTCTCAGTTTTATTCGGACAAACACTGTATTTGTGTTAGAAGAGCGTCTGTGACCTGAAGACAGGAACACACACCAGGTTCCGGTGTTCCCTTGCAGCTTCTCATGATGATGATGATGATGAGTGTTTCATTCGCCTGATGAAGCTTCAGTCCTTTTGATCATGTGTGTGTAGGTGCCGTGCAGTCTGGAGTACTGGGACGAGCTGCAGCAAGCGTTTGTGCCGTATAGAGAGTTCAGCCTATCAGAGAGCAGTGCGTGTGAGCTGACCCTGCCCACTCTGACCCCCAACACACACCAGACTGACCTGGTGACCTCTGACCTCTGGAGGGTGGTGCTCAACAGCACCAGTGATGGTGGAGATGAGAGGTGAGTGTTTTTTATGTGAGAGTGTGTGTTTTAGAGGCGTGTGTAATCGTGTGTGTGTGTGTGTAGTTCGGACAGTGAGTCCGGGTCCCAGGTGCCCTGTGAGCAGCTGGTGTGTCCCACCGCTCTGGCCGCATGTACGCGAGTCGACTCCTGTTTCGCGCCGTGGTTCGTGCCGTCAGTCGGTGTTTCCTTACGACTGGCCTACCTGGAGCTGCACTTCTGTCACAACCTGGACCAGCTGGGCACAGGTGTGTATGAGACTGTGTGTGTGTGTGCTTTTGTGTGCGTGTGTGTGAGAGAGAGAGAGACTATGTGAGTGTGTGTTTTTGTGCGCGTATGTGCGTGTGTGTGTGTGTGTGTGTGTTTGAGAGAGAGAGAGAGAAAGTGACTGTGTGTGTGTGTGTGATTGAGTGAGATAGTGTCTGAGTGAGTGAGTGTGAGAATGTGTCTGTGTGTGTGTGTGTTTTTTGTTTTGTTTTGTGTGTGTGTTTTTGTGCGTGTGAGAGTGTCTATGTGTGTGTGTTTTTGTGCGTGTGTGTGTTTGTGCGAGTGAGTGTGTGTGAGTTAGTTTAAGTCAGGATTTCACAAACTCATGAGTTGATGAAAAGCTAATTATTAATTAAATTATAAAAATGTCAAATTAAATAATTAAAAATGTAAAAATAACATATACTAAAAATGAATTCAGTCACATAAATGTCAAATTAAAATGAAGAATTTAAAAATAAAAACAATCAAAATAAAAACTTAAACACTTTGTACTGATTTTTTCTGTTCTTTAATTTGACTCTTTTGCAGCGCCGTGCCAGAAGCTCCGCCCCTTCCTCCCAGACAGGAAGTTGCCTCAGGATCAGGAGTTTGCGGTGGTGTGTGTGCGTGAGCCGTGTGTGTTTGTGCGTCAGTGGAGCGACGTGTCTCAGTGCTGTCACGAGCTCAGCTTCTCGTCCACGCTGAGCTGCCGGCTGCTGGAGTACCGAAACCTCACGCTCCTGCCCGTCCTTCAGCCCGTCGGCCTGCAGGGACACGCCACACACACACACACACGCGCTCGCCACGCGCTGCACTGCGACGCCACGCTGCAGCCGCTGAGGGCCGCCGTCGGCCAGTACGCCGTACACACACTGGACCGCGCGCTGCAGGCCTGGAGACAGGTGAGAGTGAGACGGTTCTGGCGTGTCCTGATGATCATTAACCCTTCCTGAAGTCAAAATCATGTTCATAGTCAAACTGATTTTTAAAGGTGACGCATTAAACCCCTTTTAACAAGATATAATATAAATCTATGCATCTGTGAAATTTCAGCTCAAAATACCAGATCATTCATTACAGCTCGTCAAATTCGCCCCTTTTAGGGTGTGAGCAAAAACACACTGTTTTTGTGTGTGTGTCCCTTTAAATGCAAAAGGATTTTAGCTCCGCCTCCATCCAGAAGAGGGCGGGGCCTTCACACGAGCTTCAGAGACTCCGGCAATAACAGCACAGGCGGATCTGACTGACCCAGGATCAGGAGTAACAGCAGCTTTAGCTCCGCCTTCCGGAGAGACTCAGGGAGAGCTGCACTGTTACACGCTTCTGAATGTTAGCGGAGACGTTTGTGTAGTTGTTGTGGAGTCACACTGATCATCTCATCATCATGTTGAACTCTTCCACAAGTGTCCACAGTTCCTGAGACAGTGTTTATAAGACAGCGCTGGTCACATGTTCTGCTCAATAGTGTTCAGTGTCGTCTGTGCTGACCTCAGAACAGTTTCAGGCTCAGCTGGATCTTCTCCAGTGCGTTAGAACTGGTCTCTGTTGGCGCTCGCCGAACCCAATGTGTGTGTGTGTGTTTGTGTGTGTGTGAACGTGCAGATTATTATAATAAGATCCTCTTCATACAGCAGAAGGAGCGAATTCTGATTGGCTTATTTTATAACATGCTCTCAGAGAAACACTCACCAGAACACAGTTACTGGGTTTCACGTCTCACCTGTTCTGTGTCGGTAAAAGCGGTGATTACAGCACACACACACACACACACATACACACACAGGTTGTTGATTGATGGTTTATGCTTCTGTTGAAGCCGTCATGGCACATTTTTTCTACTTAAGTTTAAATAATGACATTTAACAGTGCAAGTCCCATGATTCTGCAGAGAAATCTCCACCAATCAGTGAATCACGGCGAGCAATTGATGCTGCATTAGCCCCGCCCGTTCCCATGAAGCACAGCGAATGATGCAATCAAGTCTCAAAAATACTGAAATATTTTTCTATATATTCATATCTTGCAGTAAACATAAAACACACTGTTTGGATATACGTAGTCAACATATTTAAATCTATGGTTTTATAATAATCTATCGTTTTTAATTTGATGGGGTCATTCGCAAATTATAATTCTGTGCTTCATTAAAGCCGTTACGTCTTTTTAAGTCAGATTTTTTTTTAGGGTTCTCCTGCTGGTGGGTTTGTTTCATGGCGTATAAACTCTTAAAACTCCTGATGGGAAAACTCCTTCTGGCCAGGCAGCTGAATAAGTGTGTGTGGATCTGTTGAAGTACAAAAGAAGCACTTGTTGTAGTTTAAGCACGAGTGTGTTGGAGTGTGTGTCGTTCGCATGCAGACCTGTGAGACGAGTGAAAGCTGCAGTAATGAACACACACTCGCATTTACATGCAGTCAACACTGACTCAATGACTACACACACACACACGTGCTGGAGCGTCCTGACAGACAGTCACATGTGCTCAGACAGAGATTGTGGAGCAGAATTAAAGAGCTGTTTAATGTGATCTGTCCCAGAGTTCAGTGCGTTTACTGGGTGTGTTTATATGTGATTGACAGTCAGAGACTCTTTCATCGCTGTATCACGTGACTGTGTAAATGTGCGAGGATTACGGTGTCTGCCTGTGAGTGTTACTGTGTTTCTCTATAAAACACACACACACACACACGACTAACTACAGCTCATCCACTCAGTGGGAGAGGAGAGGATGATGGGAAATGTTGCTCTGACTCAGAGTTTGGAGGCGCTGCTGATGTGTTTCCTGTAGCGCGTGTATGAGAGAGAGTGTGTGTGTGTGTGTGTGTGTGTGTGTGTGTGTGAACACACTCTGGTGGGATGAGCAGCAATTTTAAAGGCTTGAGACTGTCATGAGATGATGTACATTACCAGTAGCGGGTCAGAGGTCAGCCCTGCACAGGAACTGGACTTTCATCAAACCAGTCTCACACCAGCAGACAGACTGCAGTGTGAACGCGTCTCACACACACACACACACACACGCACACTCGCACACACACTCGCACACACACTCGCACACGGGGGTTCTTGTGTCCTGCGGGCCGTCAGAGGGATGTTCGCAGGAGGAATGACTGATCTGTTGTGTGTGTGTGTGTTTCAGAACGGTGTGTCGGGCGCTGAGGAGGTGGTGTTCTGCCATTACATCATCTGTAACGACACACAGGAAGTGCTGCGCTTCGGACAGGTCGACACAGACGAGAACATCCTGTTACAAAGCAACCAGAGCCACCAGTACAGCTGGAGAACACACAAATCCCCACAGGTGTGTGTGTGTGTGTGTGTGTGTGTGTGTGTGTGTGTGTGTCAAGGTTTTACAGATGCTAGAAATGTGACCTTCAAATGAAAGAGTGGTATCAAGATCACACACACACACACACACACACACACGCACACACACACACACAGTGTACTTTTTAATTATTTACTCGATTTCATCACTGGGAATGACACGTGCAAAATCTAAATCTCTGTCCATCATTTTGTGAGCAATTGTTGATCAAGAAAACTTTCTCACAATATTCGAAATATTTCCATGTTAAATGATGAAGGCGAGCCAGTGGATATGACAGAGTTATACTGGTGGAAAGACTCAAACCCCAGTCAGTTATTCACTACAGAAAGTGAATTATAAAAACATTACGCTGCATTAACAGTTCAATTACACATGATGTAGTCAGCCGGATCCGGGCCGCATCCAGATCAGATGGAGGACCTGCGCCTCGACACGACCGTCACACATGATGCGGCGCGACAGCCATCGGCAATGATCATAATAAAGCAGTAAAGAGTCGTGGTGAAGGGATATATCTGACCTGGGTGACGTGACACAGCTAGTAGACAGGAGAAGTATTACCTGGTGACAATGATTAGATGGAGATCTAATGTTCGACTAAGGATTTGACTTCAGCCCTACGAAATTCAGATGTGTGTGTGTGTGTGTGTGTGTGGGGGGGGGGGGTGATTTCAAATTCACACAAGCTCCCCAGATAACACTAATCCTGTTCGAATAGGGCTCAAGACTATGAGCCGCATTACTAGAGAAGAGCAGCACCAGCCCAGGACGGACGAACACCATCTCTTCGACGGGTCAGGCTTGCCCCAAATACTTTTCCAATTGTCCTTGAGTTCTGTGTTATTCTGCGGACGCCATCGAGTGAGGAGAGTCGACTGATCTCATGACTCCTGCCAACAGCAAACTACTGTGCCTGACATCGTACTTGCGAGCTCACACACCTCTTTAATGTCAATATTAGTGATCTGTGTGTGTGAGAGTGTGTGTGAGAGGTAATGCTTGAATGTAAACAGCAACTATTGTGCCCCACACACACACACACACACACACACATGCAGCACTACTGTAGACACTTGTGGGTTTTTCCCTCTCCTTGAACACAATGTGTGTCTGTATCTTTTCTGTTTGTTTCCTGTTCCTGCGGCTTCAGTCTGAATGTGTCTCTCAGACACCGCAGCAGCCGCGTCTCTGTCTGTGTGTGTGTGTGTGTGTGTGTGCGCCGCAGGGTCTCGTGGTCCGGCGGGCCGAGGGTGTTTGTCCGGCCGCTGTGACGCGCTGCTGTTCTCTGTGGGTTCGAGTCCTGATGAAGCTGCTCTTGTTTTAATCTGTGCCGTTTGAGACGGATGGTTTTTATTACGCCAGTGTTTTGAGTCAGTAAACGCTCAGGCTGTTTTCCCACAGTGCACTGCGGTGAGGGGCGTTGCCTGCGCGGCGTCTCCGCCGGGACTCGTGTGGCATGCGAATGACTTCAGGGCTGCGGACGCCAGTATGGAGACCATTAGCACCAATCTGGACTGAATCTGGGTGGATATTCCACTTCCTGTCTGTTCCTGTGGGGGGGGGCGTAGCTACAGCATCACAGTAGCTGCTGCCAAACCCTAACACACACACACACACACACACAGCTAATTGTCGCAGTACACACGCTCGCACACAGATAATGCATAAATCTTGCTGGTCCTCATGCCTCTTTCACACACTTGCTGTTTGGACACAGAAACACACTCCTTCGGGCCGTGATGATGTCATGCGTCGTGTGAACGAGCCCCTGGCGGCCCGTCGCAATTATAGCCACACATCCATAATTTCCCGGTTGAGTTGCGGCCGCTGGTGTGGATGGGTGTGAGAGCGACTTGCATGTTTGCGCTGGTTTCCATGGTGATGTGAAGATCTGGTTCCTCCACATGATGTGTGTGTGTGTGTGTGTGTTCAGCTCGTGTGTTTCAGCTCATGTCCGGTTGCGTTGGATGAGCGGGAACACGTGTGCGGCTGCTTTGATGAGCGCGAGCCGCTGTTTTGGCGTCTCTTGAAGGTCGCGCTGGAAAAGGGCTGTTGTGCAAATAAAGGGGTCGAGCCGCTGCTTCCTGATGAGTCACAGCGCAGAGATCTGAGGCATGATGTCATTTCCTCTCGCCAGCCTCTGTAGGAGGAAGAGCTGCTCAAATTGACTTCAGCCTTTGATTGGCAGTGTTTTCGTAAGGGAATCCGGCTTCAAACGGCCGGGAAGCGCAGGATCAGGCCTGACCGCGGTCACCGATCGCTTCGACCCGCACACTAATTTGTTTTACTTTACAGTTTGAGTAACACTCAGTGCAGTTCAGAGTGTCAGTGTGATCTCACTCTGACCCGATTCATGAACGCTCCGTAGGAATGATAAACAAGAGTTCACACTGCCAACAGTTAAATCAGCACGAACACACATGACACACACACACACACACACTCTCGTGAGTATTTCTGAGCTTGATTTGAATATCAGGTTCTAATGAATTCAAATGTGTTGGATCAGCATCACTGAGTGTGTGTGAGTGTCAAGTCATCTTTATGACTTAAGTTCAGTGATGCTTGGTTTTTGTCATAAAGTTCTTAATTTAGTTGATTTATATATCTGTAGCCGCTCTGGAGAAGAGCGTGATGTCATCGTCCAGCTCAGTTCAGTTCTCGTATAATGCTGTCAGTGCAGGAGATCAATAATATTGCTGGATATTAAATGTCTCCAACTGAGCAGCCCAAAGCAAAGGCCGGAACCCAAACTCAGAATGGAGAAACCAGACTCAGTCGCTCAGTTCTCCCACAGTGTGTGATCGTGATTCAGGAGCGTTACAGGTCAGAGGTCAGATTGGATCAGATCATCAGAACATTCAGACTATTGTCCAGTTGCCTCTGGTTAAAGATCCGAGTCACGCCGCTGTGGAGACGGGTTTGTTGAGGATCAGTGCCGATGGCTGTCGTGTCGATGAGGCTTTACAGGCGAGAGTCTAGATCACACAGTCTCTGCTGACCCGGATCCGGCTGACTACATCATGTGTTGTGGTCGTGTCCAGGCGCAGGTCCTCCATCTGATCTGGATACGGCCCGGATCCTGCAGTGTGTGTGTGATCGTGATTCTCTTATGTAAATACTTGTTTTTATTTTACAGAACCAAAAGTATTATTAGCATAGTAATATGAGACAAAAAGAACAATATATGACAAAAATACAATATGGTGATATTGTGCAGCCCGAAAAAAAAAAATTCTATCCAAAAAAAGATTAATAACTCCCCCTAAAATTGTTTTAGAAGAAGAAACTGCCTGGCCACTAAAAAATATTAACGGTGGATCGTAGTCGTCTCCAGGTGATTTGCTTTCGGTGACGCATGACTGTGTGTTTCAGCTGCTGCACATCTGCATTGAGGGCTGGGGAAACTGGCGCTGGGCCGAAGCCTTCAGTGTGGACGAGGTGGGGAACTTGCTGAGAACCATCCAGCATAAAGGACAGACGGCCTCACTCATCATCAGGGTCAAGCAGCTCAGCGGAGTCCAGAAACAGGTACACACACAAACACACAAAGACATTCCCACGTATTAAATCAGTCAGTGTCATGTGACCTGGAGCGTCTCTCTCTCTCTCTGTCAGGTGATCATCTGCGGCCGGCAGGTGATGTGCAGTTTCCTGCATCAGTCGATCGAGCTGCGGCTTGTGCAGTACCACAGGGGTCACGAGGGTCATGAGGGTCACGAGGGACAGGAGCGCGTCGCCCGTCTGGAGCCGCACTGCAAACCGGCCTCGTTCGTGCTGGAGGACGCAGAGCTGACGGAGGTGTGTGTGCGTGTGTGTGGAGACAACGCCTGGTCGGGGGACGTGTGTCTGGATCCCAGCGACACACACACCAGCTCTGTGGTGCAGGTGCGTCACAACCAATCACACACACCAGCTCTCAACCAATCACACACACCAGCTCTCGACCAATCACACACGCCAGCTGTCAACCAATCACACACACCAGCTCTCGACCAATCACACACACCAGCTCTCGACCAATCACACACACCAGCTCTCGACCAATCACACACACCAGCTCTCGACCAATCACACACGCCAGCTCTCGACCAATCACACACACCAGCTCTCGACCAATCACACACACCAGCTCTCAACCAATCACACACACCAGCTCTCAACCAATCACACACACCAGCTCTCGACCAATCACACACGCCAGCTGTCAACCAATCACACACACCAGCTCTCGACCAATCACACACACCAGCTCTCGACCAATCACACACACCAGCTCTCGACCAATCACACACACCAGCTCTCGACCAATCACACACACCAGCTCTCGACCAATCACACACACCAGCTCTCGACCAATCACACACGCCAGCTCTCGACCAATCACACACGCCAGCTCTCGACCAATCACACACACCAGCTCTCGACCAATCACACACACCAGCTCTCGACCAATCACACACCAGCTCTCGACCAATCACACACGCCAGCTCTCGACCAATCACACACGCCAGCTCTCGACCAATCACACACAACAGCTCTCGACCAATCACACACACCAGCTCTCGACCAATCACACACCAGCTCTCGACCAATCACACACGCCAGCTCTCGACCAATCACACACACCAGCTCTCGACCAATCACACACGCCAGCTCTCGACCAATCACACACGCCAGCTCTCGACCAATCACACACGCCAGCTCTCGACCAATCACACACACCAGCTCTCGACCAATCACACACACCAGCTCTCAACCAATCACACACGCCAGCTCTCGACCAATCACACACGCCAGCTCTCGACCAATCACACACACCAGCTCTCGACCAATCACACACGCCAGTTCTCGACCAATCACACACGCCAGCTCTCGACCAATCACACACACCAGCTCTCAACCAATCACACACACCAGCTCTCGACCAATCACACACGCCAGCTGTCAACCAATCACACACGCCAGCTCTCGACCAATCACACACACCAGCTCTCAACCAATCACACACACCAGCTCTCAACCAATCACACACACCAGCTCTCGACCAATCACACACACCAGCTCTCGACCAATCACACACGCCAGCTCTCGACCAATCACACACACCAGCTCTCGACCAATCACACACGCCAGTTCTCGACCAATCACACACGCCAGCTCTCGACCAATC